AAGAAAAGCGTGGGACGACCAGCGCACACACTCTCATTGCTCCCGTAAAGCAAAACACACACACAGGGAGAGAGAGAGAGAGAGAGGTCGCCCACTCAATGCAATAAAAACAAAACAGAAACAGTTACGGTGCTCCGCCCATGCAGCCAGGCAGGACGGCAGCGGTGCGTGTGGTGCAAAAGAGAGCACCAACGGGCCTGCATGGGTGTGCATGCAATATATACAATGGGCACATTATGTGTGTGCTTCGTGGGGTGAGGTGAGGGCGAGAGTCCATGCAAGGGGACACACACAGAGAGTGAGTGAAAGACGAGTGTGTGTGCGGGCGGTGCACGGCTCTCTCTCCCTCACTCTCACGCGGCCACCACCGCAGAAGCAGCCGCACACGCAACAAGAAGAAGAAGCAAAAGAGGGGAGGTGGTGTGAGAGAGAGCGCTGCTGCTGTCACTGTCGCCAACCTTTTCCTTATTTACACTTTGGCGTTTTTCCGTCTGCGCAGTATCGGAAGGTTGAGAATTCTCCACAGTAGTCTTTTCAACGGATGTTTCCTTCTGAAGTGGGGAAGAGCTGTCATTTGAAGATGTCGCTGCTGCTTGTTCTTGACTGCCAGTTGATACACTCTCCGCAGCGTCCGAAGTGGATACAGGATCCTCGTTATTTCCTTCTTGTTTTGCAGGTGAATCCGTGGATGCACTCGTGTTCTGGCTGCCTTTCTTCTCTTTTTCTGGATTCGTTTTTGGATGATCAGTTTTTGGTTCCGGCAGAGGTGCGTTTGATAATTCCGGTAAGGCTTTTCCTTTTTCTTGTAATTCTTTATTTGGATCTTCTGGTGACTTAACTGTTTGAAGAGTGTATGAATCCCCGTCTTTTTTCTCCGGTTCTTCCGAAGAGCGCTCTTGTTTGAAACCCAATGTAGAAGTGTCGCCAACATCTTGCCCCCTTGTTTTATCAGAGCCCCGTGACTGAGTTTCAGCGACTGGTGTTCCTGCTGCTTTTCCGTTGGGCAACTGGTGACTCTGATCCTTTGCCTCATCTCTTCGCAAAACTTTTTTTTCAGATTCACTTTGCAAAGGGGATGAAAGACTGACACTGGTCTCCGTGCCAACAATACGGTCAGGTGAAGAACCACCACCGGAAGCAGGACCACCAGCAGCAGGAGAGAGACCAGCGCCAGGAGAGAGACCAGCAGCAGGTACAGAACCAGCTTCACTGCTGCCACCACCACCTTGTCCAGCAGATTTTACACCGCTTCCGCCACCACTTCCGCCACCTCCTACTCCTGCAGCGATGTCGGCAGCTTCAACAACACCTGAAGTTGGATTTTTACCGCCTTTTCCCTTGGAGGAAGCAACTTCTTCAGAATCTTCGGCTTGTATAGCAGGAATGGGCAAAACTGAACGCAAAGAGAGTGTCGGCGCGTTTTTATCACATCCGCTCGACAAATACGATTTTTTCTTTCCAAACCCTCCCGACGTCATGCAGACACCCTGTGCGTTGTTGTCGACGTCCCTCGCATAAACTCCGCCGGCACCGCACCACAGCACGCAGAGGGCACACACCAGCAGCACACGGCCAGTCATCATCATCGCCATCATCACTCCTTTCACTTGCGTGCAGCCTTCAGCGCAAACCAACTCCCGTCAACGCAGAGTGAAAGCAACAGAAAAGAGACAAGTCACACAAACACCGCATCGTAACAAGTGGCAGCAGCCCAGCAGCAGCAGCGCACACACCATTACACAAATTAATCCAGCACAAATCCAAAACTCGCACAACACCCGGCAAAAAAATTAAAAATGAAAAAAAAGATATTATAGAAAAATACCACAAGACTCCGCTGCGCATGCATATGAGTGTGTCTGCGACGCGTTCAACGTGGCGGATGTGGGGAGCGACGCGGAGCAAACAGCAGGGCAGCGGAAGCAAACAAAGCAAAAAAAAATCATCATAATTACTCTTACTTTATACATCGGACCACAGTAGACGTACACATGTCCCCGTGGATAAGTGCTGGCACGCACAGCCCACGCTCACTTTCAGCCCACAGCGGTGTACGCCAGCGCGGATACGGCGAGCAGCAGCGGGGCACACACCCACGCAGAGCTGCTGAAACTGCCGTCGATTTTGCGCAGACGTGACGGTGCGCGGGTGGTCGTCGTAGTGGTTGGCGCCTCTGTAGTTGTAGTGCTTGGTGCCTCTGGCGCAGCGGTGGTGGTCGTTGTAGTCGTAGTTGGCGCCTTCGTCGTCGTCGTGGACGTCGTGGACGTAGTTGGTTTTATTTCCTTATCGGCTTTTTTCCCATCCTGTCCCTCAACAGCCGTACCTGATATCTTTATCGAACGGGGCTTTTCGTTTAAAACCTGTCCTGCACCGGACGCCGCACTTCCCGACTGTAACGCACCAGCCCCCGTATTTGGTTTCTGTACCTCTACAGTGTTCTCTTGTCTCTTTAGAGAAGTGGAGCCCCCATTTCGTAACCCTCCCTCAACGCTGCTACTATCTGCCAGATCCGCACCATTGTCCGTCTGTGAATCCTGGCCATTATCGGGATTATCTCGCTCTTGTGACTGAGGGGGCGACGAGCCCGAGCCGGCGGAAATGTCTCCACCAGTATCTGTCGTACAGACACACGAGCAGCAGCACAGGGCGAGCACCAACAGGGCGCACAGCAGACGGCACGTCATCATCATCGTGAGTGTGGTCGTTCAGTGGTGTGGAGCTTATCTGCACAGTGAGGGACATGGAGAGCAACAGGGGAGACGAGAGGTGCGGCAGACACACACAGAGGGCAAGACCACGTGAGGAGAGGGCAGCAGCCAGGCATGCACCGTACGCCGCACACCACGCACGACACACACTCCAATCCACGGCAACAGGCACACACACAGGGAGAGAGAGAGAGAGATGGAAGAGGCAGAGGCACACAAGGCTCCACCGCATCCACATACGGCGAGAGCGGTCCGTCGTGTCTGGACCCCTCACAGAGGGCACGCAAACACAAAAAAAAAGGTGCAGTGCAAACAGCAAAGTAACAATAAAAAAAGAAGATATCCCCGCACACCACGTGGATCGTTGATCCACGGGAAGTGCAGCCAATATTCATCACAAAAACAATTCAGTTGCCTTCGGCCTCCGTTCATATTCAGCGTACACCACTTCATGCAAGCCCAGTCACCACCGCAGCAGCCGCACACGCAAAAAATAAGCGCAGGGAATGGAATAAATCAAGCAACCATTTATTTGTGTTTCTTTTTGGAGGGTGGCATATGTCTGCATGCGTTTTGTTTTTTTTTTTGCGGAGGGTAAACCTTCATGCCTGGGTCGTGTGTTGGGGATTTCTGCAGGGTGCACAATTATGTTTTATCTTCTCTTGTGAATGTTTCTTGTGTTGGTGCAGCCAATAATTCGGTTTGTGTTGTTCCTGCCTTTCGCCGGTAAAGTGTTGCAATAGATGCTTGTTTTTCCTTTCGTTGCTGTGGCACCTGATTCCTCACCGTTTATTGCGGTGGGAATGAAAATATGTGAGTGGACTCCCACACATCAGAACGCACCTTCGCTCCTATTTATTGGTGCATGGAAGGGCATGTGTGTTTGGTGGTGTCTCGTCCATATATTCTTCTGGGTGTACATTCCCCTGCAGGCTGAGGGCGGGACGACGCTCCGTCGCGGTGCACTTCCCTCGCATGCCGCCCACTGTGATCCATCATGCATCATCCCCTCACATATTCCGTGGTGCCACACCGCTGATATTATTGCAGCCGCTGTGATTCCGCGTACTTCACGCATTTGATTGTGCCACAATACATCCGCTCGTGTGACCGCCGCATCCAAACAGCGGTGCCCAACACCGTGAGCGGCAGTCCACATCCTTGCATGTCCCAACGCTGTGGTGTTCGACTGTCAGCCAGGCGTCACACAACAGGAGAGTATTGTGCTGGCAGTACAACACACGGAGCTGCAGTGAATGACTCGGGCGGAGACGCATCTATTTGCCGCAAAGCAGTGAAAAGGAGTCGGGAAAAATAATGCCGGCTGCATTCACGACACCACATCCACAGCCAAAGCATGCGACGTGATGTGTGTTTCACTAGTGCTGTGAAATGCCTGCAGACGACGTCACTAGTGGAGGCATGCCACCCATGATCAGCGGACAGACAATAATCGGCATGGCAGGCCACAAAAGGCAGCAACGACACCAGCAGCTCTCTCTCTCTCCGTTGCCTCCGAGAAGTAAATAGTCCACCAGCCACAGCCGACTGTGCCATCGTGACACTCCATGCACGTCGTGGCTGCGTCAACACATCCTGTTCCCTGCAGCGCCTCAAAAGATGCCTCACTCCGTCCACTAAGTGCATCGATGCGGGCCGTGCCTGGGCTGTTCGTGAAGACCACAACGATGTGAGGGTCACCGAGTCGCAGCATGTTTGCTGTGACGTTGTTGCATGGCACCTGCACACACACACACGCAGCGCCTGCATCCCTCCCTTTTGTGTTCGCTCTCTGCCGGAGTGGCCACACACACGGGCAGCAGCAAAATAACTTCACCCTCGACGATCCAAAATCAACACCGACATCCCTCGCGACGCAAAGATCTCGGTTGCCAGCACGGGCTTCCTGTCGCTCTGCCATCGACGCTGAAACACGGCATAGTGCACGCACTTATTTTCCTCGTGTGCAGTCAGACGTTTGCTTCACACATTCTTCGATGGGTTGACGTCCACAAAAGCACGCCACAAAAGGCCACCGTGATCGCACACGCTCTTGCGATGAGCGTCGGTGTGTGCATGGATCCGCTGCTCACACGTGCTGGCAGGCAGCCTGCAGCCGGTGCCCTCGTGCCAGTTCGTCGGCTCCAGCATGGAAAAGAGAAAACGGCCTATTCCCGATGCACTTATTCCCACCAGCAGCACCAACACGCTGGTCGCCAGCCGTCATTCCTCAGCACATCCAGGAATGCCGAAAAGTGACGTGGAACTGTCAGCCAACAACGCCACAATCCCCGCACACATGTCGGCTCCACCAGAGAAGACACACAAATCACAAACATCGCCCTCCACATGTCATCCGAACATCATTCCGACACACCGCGACACGCCAAACAGAATTATTCGTCACCCCAACGCACCTCCCCACACAATCACATATTCCATGCACCACGCACGGCAGCAACCCACACGCGGTCAAACAAATGTTCTTCGGATCAGTATTATCCACGTGCTGCGGTGGGAAGTAAACAAAAGAGACGAGCTGCCAAACCCCAAAAGAGTGCCACGACCGGCCGCAACTCAACGGAACGCAGCTACCCAAAAGAACCCGGTTCTAATGCCCTCAGCCTCCCATATTTTCCCACAAAAGCTGTAAGAGAATGAAACCAAGCACTCTAACAAATAAATTCTTTGTGCAACACAAGGAGAAGCCGCAGTGCCTCCTGCTGCCATCCAGGACCGTTGATGTTGCCTTCACGGTGACAGACGATAATCGTTTGTTCTAAACAACGTTGCATACCTGCGACGCATCCTGCGCTGTGGGACGCACGCGCCTCACTATCACCAGAGACACCCACGCGCCGTCGGACGCCCCACATTGTCAAATAGGCAAGAATACGTCAGAGTGACGACGAGGCACCCGCTGAAAATCACAACGCAGGCATCATCACGTGAAGTTGCAGCAGCGCTGCAGTCAACTGTGGAGTGACGTGCATAAACTGACGCATGGCGTATGTGGAATGAAAAACGTGGTGGCTTGGCAAGGATACGAGCAGCGAAGACTTCCTCAAAACGATAAAAACAATCTAAAAACAAAGAAAAACATTCAGTTGGTCGCAGTAAAAGCATCACACATAAACGCAGCCCGCGGAATGGGTGCTCTCAACCACAAAACAATGAAAAACAAAACAAAAAGCCGAAGCGTGGGACGACCAGCGCACACACTCTCATTGCTCCCGTAAAGCAAAACACACACACAGGGGGAGAGAGAGAGAGAGAGAGGTCGCCCACTCAATGCAATGGAAACAAAACAGAAACAGTTACGGTGCTGCGCCCATACAGCCAGGCAGGACGGCAGCGGTGCGTGTCGTGCAAAAGAGAGCACCAACGGGCCTGCATGGGTGTGCATGCAATATATACAATGGGCACATTATGTGTGTGCTTCGTGGGATGAGGTGAGGGCGAAAGTCCATGCAAGGGGACACACAGAGAGAGTGAGTGAAAGACGAGTGTGTGTGCGGGCGGTGCATGGCTCTCTCTCACTCACTCTCACGCGGCCACCACCGCAGCCGCAGAAGCACACGCAAAAAGAAGAAGCAAAAGAGGGGAGGTGATGTGCGAGACCGCGGTGCTGCCGTCACTTTCGCCAGTCGTCGTACCATTTGTTGAGCAGTCCCTGCTGTTTGTGGTGCTGCCTCACCCATTTTGACGTTGCTGCCGTCACTGTTGCTGTCTTCTTGCGTCGCCGTATCATCTGTTTTGGCTGTGGTATTTGGTGCTCTTGGGATTCCTGCACTGTGAGTGGCCGCATTCTCCGTGCTGTGTGACGCTTCTTCACTTGTGTCTCTCGCATTGTTCTGTTCGGTGTCATTGTTTAAGGAGTTGTCGCTTATGCTTGTGAGGCTGCTTGCGTCACCAGGATTCTTTTCCTTTTTGATCGCAGCTTCATTACCGACTGCCGCCGTTGATGCGGGAGTTTTGTGCGCATCGCCAGACGCAGCTGTTGATTTACTTTTCCCGGGTGGTGTGGGCGGGCTTTTTTTGTTTTTCCGCCAACGTCCTTGTGAGTATCAACAATATGTTTGGATTGGTCTTCTGCTTCCTTCACTATTGCATGGGTTGGCAGAGCACCGTTGGCAAACTCCACGGCGCGCTCTTGACTGTGGCTGCTGGCAGCATTCCGCACGGCCTCTGACTCGAGTGTCGCCGCTC